ACAATCTAGATGTCCCTCAACAGAAGAATGAATAAAGCTTATATGATGCATTCACATGATGGACTCTAAATAAGCTGTTTAAAAATGATACTGTGAAATTTTCAGGCAAATGGATAGATGTAGAAAAGATTATCTGGAATGAGGTTATACTAATGAATTCCTATTGAAATCTCCTAATGAAGTCTCCAAATAGTGGGGAGACAGAAACCCAACTGGCCATCTCTTGACAAATAATGCAGCTTCAAGTACCAGGACGGTTTCATGATCTTGAGCTGTTGCCTAAAAAGATGAAATGGAAATCCCAAGAAAACCAGGCTGCTGCCAAGACAAGAGGTTTTCCTGAACAACCTGACAGAAAGGCCCCACAATGGAAGACAACACAACAAAGCAACGTATTAAATTAGAAGTGTTTAAAATGGTGCTATGTAGAACCTTCACCTTCCAGGTTCTAACTGTTCATGACACAGAATGGTACTTTTACGTAGACAAAAGATGTGTGTTTACACCAACGTAACTACCAAATTTTGGTATATAACCAGCCTTCTCTACAGAATATGCTAGGTAATTAATTGTGGCACCAACCTTGAGGGAATAACCAACCAATGTCTGTTTACACTCATGAATCTCTCCATGAGATGATACAAATAACTGATTCTATTTGAGCTACCAAGGACCAGAGACTTGCTAACCCAGAGACCTTTGGTCAAACCAATGTTATTGTTCTAAAAAATGATGTTTGCTTATATTCTGCCATACTCACAGATTAGTGCCTTATTCAGTCTAAAAAACCGAAATCACAGGGCCCACACTTTTCTTTATCAGGTCCACTGCACATATGCTATACCTTCCAGTTTAGCACTTTTATTGTACTCTTGAAAGTGTAAACTAGTGAGTCTCTGATTCCTGTGCCCTCTCTTGGGGCTTTTACTTTTCTTTTGTCTTGTCACCTCCAACTTTGAAATGATGGGTTTTATGTTACCTATTTATATGTTAATTTGTTATGTTTGTTATTATTTCTCAGAAGCATGTTCTTTTCTAGTGAGACAGAGATAGTGAATGGATCTGGATGAGAGCAAAGGTAAGTGGAAACTGAGAGAAGTAGAGGGAGAGGAAATTTATTCTTAGTATATTGTGTGAGAAAGAGTCTATGTTTAGGAAAAGGTAGGCAGATTCAAAAGAACAAATTATATGAAATAATTGATTTTCAGTAAGAAACTTTTTCATAAAGATAAAATATATGTACAAAGGAAATCAAATCCAAATCTTCAGTCACCTGAAGTGTTAAAAAAAACCTCTTGCACTAAGAATAAACATAAATAGGATGTGAGAAATCCAAGCCTTAAGTGAATCTTAAATGTGACCATAAGGAAATGGGGCTCAAAACTGTGTCTGTGGTGGAAAGAAATAGACTGCTAATTTTTGGGCAATGTGGTTCTCTTTAGGGAAGAATATTTGCAATGGATCAGCAATGTTAGTCAAGGATGACTTTAATGTCTAGAGTGTTTTTTTCTATCTATGAATTATCTATGTATCTCTGTATGTATTTATCTGTGTATCTATATCTATCTAAAAGAAAATAAAAGTAAGAGCAATGCTTATATTTCTAATCAAGGAAAAAGATCATTATTCTCTCTCCAGTCCTGTTCCATTTGCTTAGGTATTGCAGATAGCCTGTGCACAGATAAGAAAATCCTCTGTAAGCCTGTATTTACCTGTCTCATTTGAAATCTCATTTTCTGCACAAGGAGTGCAATCAAAGCAGCAGACAGCCTTGCCTTCCTGGGTGGCTTTCCTGAATCCTGGCCTACAGCTCTCACTGCACACAGACTGAGGAATCTGAGGAAAATAAAAGTTATTGGCAAGTGCTCAACCTTTTGTGAAAAATCCAAGAAAGTCGAGAATTTCTGAGTATCACTGAATAGTAAATTTTCAAATGATTACACATGCTATTGAAAACAACGGATTTGGGTATTGCTAATTTTGGCAGCTTTGGGTCTACATAGACTACATGCTTAAATATTGGTACGATACATTAAGCTGCAGTTAAGAGTATGTCATTAAAGTAATGTTCTAAAAGGTCACAGTATGACTGTAGAAAACAGTCTCTATATTTGCTATTAGGGTGAGCTTTCATATCCACTGTGGTTGTGGATGTTGAGAACTTGACAGGGCTTGGCTTCACCATGGAAATGAATCTTTGGGTGTATGTGTGAAGAGTTTTATGCAGGCATTTATGTGAGGTGCAGGGAACCTTATGGAAGAAGAGAGAAATAAAAAGACCTTGAGGGGACAGGAACTCTATAAGGAGACAAACATAGTCAAAAACCTAGGGCCAGAGTTACCTGGAAAGATGACGGATACTCTAACCAAGGACCATGCATGGAGCAGACTTAGACACCCTGCTCAGAGAAAGCCCATAGAGGGCTCAGATTTCAAGTTGGTTCCTAGTAAGGGGTCATGAGGTGTCTCTGACATGAACTCAGTGTTCGGCTCTTTGATCACCTTCCCAGGGTTGGGGGGTGGGTTGCAGCCTTGCCAGGACACAGAGGAAGATGATGCAGCCAGCCCTGATGAGACCTGATAGGCTAGGGTCAGTTAGAAGGGGAGGAGGACCAGCCCTATCATGTGCCTAAAGAAAGGGCATAGAGAGAAAATAAGGAGGGTGGGTAGAACATAATGGAGAGAGCTTCATCAGGGGATACAAACTGAATAAATTTTAATAAATAAATCAATACAGATAAAATGAAAAAAAGAACTGCATGAGCTTAATTAAATGAGCTCTTTTATTGATCAGAGGCAGGGAATGAGAAAGGAGTCTATATTAGTTAAATATTGATTGGTACTGAATGACAGTCCAAGGATCATTACATCCTGAAAATTATTTTAGTTTTCATGAAAAGTCAAAGCAGTAAGATGAATCACAACTCACCTTTGTAAAGCTTATTGGCCATTGAATCAACTGCTCAGATAAAGACAACTGTTGACCCTGGGGAGCAATTGGAGAAAAGTTTCCTACTTTCACCTTTAATCCTAGACCTTTTGGAAAATTCCAAAAGTTGAGAATATCATACACCGAGTCTAAGTTTCTTCCCTCATCCATTACTGTGTCACTGCTCACATGATTTTCCAGAAGGGTGTTCTTTAGGAAAGGGTGGAGCTACGAGAGATTCAGAAATATATGTTGAAATACATCTCAGAAAATACAAATATTTTTAAAATGGTAATACAATGAAATCTCAGTGGTTTTAACCCCTCATGATAAAAAGAAAAATTGAAGGAGTCATCAAATGAATGATACTTGGATTGAAATGCATTAAGTTTTGAAAATCTCATTCTGTTCTGGAGATATTTATCATTGCACAAAGCTAAGACTTTGTGCATGTTATGTAAGACATAACATGCACATGTTATATAAGACACCATGTTATGTAAATTAAGATAATTTACATTGCATTAAAAAGCTAGCCAATGTTTGGAATATCTAAAGAGCTTCCATTCTTCAAACCAGGGCCCTGAAGTCTAAAGTTCACTTTAAGGTGACCCTTCATTTCATAACCCTATGGTAGTGCTCCGAAGTGTTCCAAACATCAAGGATTTGCTTCACGTTCTTCTGCTCTGAGAAATACTCATGGAAAACCCCCACTTTTCACTGTGCAGAGATTATGAAGAAGACTGAGAGACAATTTGTTATATGAATTTAATATTGGCTGTTGTTTGTTCTTTGTTCCTTGCATGATATTTACAAAGGACATTTACTTAGGATTTTGTACTGCTGTCTAGACAGGGAAACTAATATTCTCCCATGCTCATGACAACGTATGTAAACCTTATAATACCCAATTTGAGTGACTTAAAAAATAATAAAAATGTCACATTGCTGATATTACAACACAGAAGAAGGGATATTACCTGCCAGGGGAAGAATTCTAATTCTTTTCCATTAGCATATGGTTGCTTCTGTATTTGCTGAAGGTTCATCTCATGGAGACTGTAGGCCACAGCATACACAGCATTATATATATTGTAGCTCTCTTCATTCATGGCTGGGTCAAAAATGTGTCTGGGCAGTAGCTCCAAAGAAGCATTGGGTTGGCAGTTCTCCAAAAGTTGACAGTCAAGCTCAGAAAATGAGCACTTGAAGAACAAATACCAAAACTTAGGAAGATAAGTGTCTTCAGGGTATTTGTAGGGATTAACTCTTTGAATAAAATTTGTAAACTCAACCATCTCTTTATGATGGTGTGTAAAAATAAGACTCCCATGAAATGAGTCTACCATGAAATAATCAGCATGGCTGACAGCATCCCACTGAGAGTTTAAGACCCAGACTTTCCATGTCATAAACAGGTGTCCAATGTGTTGCATTAAGCCTTGTGAAGATCCAATGTCCCCATATATAACTATGACATTTGCTGAGGATTCCTGAATCTCCTCCATGTTTTTCCATAATTCATTGGAAAGTGAATTCATGTTTCCAGAGATAAATTTCAAAAAGGCTATGCAGATGCCATTACTCTCCATATCTTTTCTCAAATCTGTCAGCATCTGATTTCCTCTGTGGTCATCTGGGAGGATCAGACCAACCCAGGACCATCTGAAATGAATCATCAAAGAGACTATGGCAAGTGATAGATATGTGTCCTTGGGAGCCATCTGATAGAGAGAATTAAACTGACCTTGGTCATTCAAGGTTGAATCAAAAGGCCCAAAAGAGAGCTGTAGAAAAAAAATTGGTAACCAGATAAAGAACGCTGGCATTAAACACAATTTCCATCTTGAATCAACAAATGTAAACAGTTAGGATGAAGATAGTTTTGCCATTTTTTAAAAGGCAAAAAAAAAAAACAAACAAACAAAAACAAACAAACAAACAAAAAAAAACCCAGAGTTTTTCACAAAAAATTACTGACAGGTCTCCAGTTTAAATAAGCTAGATGGGCTCAGCCACCTCTTATTCCTTTGTATTTCAAGTACTAGAAATACGGATCTATCATCAAGGACCTTCACATTCTCCTTTGATAGTGGATTATCTCATGCATCCTTTTCACATTTTCAGACACCTATCCTGTTAACAAAGAATACATGACTCCTAGGTTTCACACCTCATCCCTCACCTGAGGTATTTTGTAAAGTTGTAGTAATGTCCCAATGTGAGCAGATGTTGCCCATGATGTTCCTGTGAGTGCAGCAGGTGACATTTTCTTTCTTGCACAGTTGTAATTAAGTAGATGATTCTCCACACTTGTGAGCCAATAAAAGGTGCGAATAAGGATATACTTTTCAGTAGATCCAATATTATGTATCTCAAAGCCCAAGGTTGTGTTGGGTAGAAGACGAGGATTTCCATTGATCTCCTCAATGGCAAATACCAGGGCCAGAAGAAACTGGTAGTTCTTAAACTTATACCTGCACAGATGTCAGAAAATCACAAAGGAGAAAAACATAGACCTTATAATCTTAGTACTCAGTGCAATGGCTTTTATTACTCAAATGTCAATACTTCTATAAAATCCATATTTTAACATCTTTTTATGAGTAACTGAAAGTAAAATGTAGAATGGGAATTTTAACTAGAATCAGGTAAGATCTTGCAGTATTAATACTCATTAATTATGGCCAATTAAAATTTTAATTATTTTTTTTTAATCTTTTATGTGCAGAAAAACATTTAAAAAACTGTCCATGAGGATCAATCTACACTCAGAAAGAAAAACAGGGTGGACATTGGAGGAAGGAGAAAACAGAGGGCCTCTTAAAGACTCTACCCAGCAGAATATCAAAGCAGATGCTGAGACTCGTAACCAAACTTTGGGCAGAGTGCAGCAAGGTACCAAAATTAATCAAATCAGAGGTCTGTACAGCTCAGTTAACTTGTATATAATTATAATAATGATTCTGAGTCATGTTAAGAATATCAAATACCGTATATCTTTCATATTCATTATCTAGAATATGTATGAAGAAGGTCTAAGATTGGATCCTGCCGAACATGATGGTATGACTTTATTGTTGAGGACACTAGATATTTGAATGACAGAACATGGAGAAATCTAGCTGGTACTCACTTGGATGCTTTATCTCTGCTGCCTAGATTCACAGTGCTTAAAGGTGTTATGGATGCTACCAAAGAAAATAAAAGCAACCGTCACTCTCACTCATCTCTGAACCATGAGGGATCCAGTAATGACTGGCTTTATATGATATGTTCTCTGGTACAAAAATGGGCACACAGGTTATGTGGAGCCACCCTTTGTCTTATTTGACATAAGGTCCCCTCCATGGTATGGAATACATATTGGCACTATAAAAATGACCAGTGTCTTTGCCTAAGGAAGAGACCCAAGGAGAGAAATTTATACTTTTATTCTGCTAAGTGGGCTCACTATGAAATCAACTAATGACTGATTGCTATGCCCACGGATTAGTACATCCCTCAATTCTCATCATAGGAGTTTCTTTTTGTAGTAGATGTCACATAATACAGAAACAAATCACTGATCATGGTACAGACAATAATAGACTATTAAATTCATCCTTAAATGAGGCATACATGTCATAAACCCTATCATGAAGACTGAAGCATCCTGTTTGAAGAGAAGTTGGAAGATTTGAAGGGTCAGAGACTGTGTATAAACTCATGGAAACAATATTTACTTTCTACGATAGGCTAGTTTCACGTTTGAACTCACAGTAATGATAAAATCATGTACAAGACCATTCTCAAACACTACAAAATGCCAGCATGTGAGGGTGATGGGCAGGAAATTTTTTCCCTAGCTGAGATCCTATTGAGATATGATGGCTACTAAGAATGAGAGAGAGAGAGAGAGAGACAGAGAGAGAGAGTGTGTGTTTCTTCACTGTTGTAACCCCTAAGAAGTCAACCACACTGAAGGGAAGGCTCAAGTTATAGTTAGTAATGGTGGAACACAGACTGTAGTTGAAATTCAAAGTTAGCTGAGTAAGGGATTAAAGATGGACAGAGTGAACCTGGGAAGATATGGTGGTATTGGTGAATATGATCAAAATATTTGTATGAAACAATTAAAAGTTAATATTTAAATTCAAATATACAATAAAATTATGTCTGAGAATAATTTTCAGAACTGTGAGAAACAAGAAATAAATAAAGTTCGCCAATAGACAGAATCAATTAAAATGCATCTGTATATTGGATGATATGTGTCATTTTTCAAAACTTTATGCATGTAAGCAAAGGCTTGGAACAAATTATAGACTACCATCTCTAGTACATGTTTCATGAGAAAGCAGAAGAGGGGCTCCAAGCCTCCAAACACAAAGCAAGGAAATGGAAACTTTACAGCCAAGATTTCATGTCTTAATGACTTTATATTATATTCATGTTTTAAACTCTGTTTGAAATGCAACACAATTTCATTTGGTTCTTTCTTATTCTTTTTACAATTTGAAATTTGTATTCCATATATTGTTTAACCGTTCATTTTTTATTTTTATTTTATTTTATTAATTATGCTTTATTCATTTTGTATCCCCCCATAAGCCCCTCCCTCCTCCCCTCCCGATCCCACCCTTCCTCCCCTTTCTGCATGCATGCCACTCCCCTAGTCCACTGATAGGGGAGGTTTTTCTCTCCTTTCTGATCTTAGTCTATCAATTCTCATCAAAAGTGGATGCATTGTCCTCTACTGTGGCCTGGTAAGGATGCTCCCCCCTCAGGGGGAAGTGATCAAAGAACAGGCCAATCAGATTATGTCAGAGGCAGTCCCTCTTCCCATTACTATGTAACCCACTTGGACACTGAACTGCCATGGGCTACATCTGTTCAGGGGTTCTAGGTTATCTCCATGAATAGTCCTTGGTTGGAGTATGAGTCTCTGGGAAGTTCCCTGTGTCCAAATTTTCTTGTTCTGTTGTTCTCCTTGTGGAGACCCTGTCCTCTCCAGCTCTTACTATTTCCCACTTCTTACATAAAATTCCATTCACTCTCCTCAACAGTTGACCATCAGGCTCAGCATCTGCTTTGATAGTCTGTAGGGCAGATTAACCATTCATTTTGATTAATATATATATATATATATATATATATATATATATATATATATATATATATGTTGATCAACATGTGTAATGTCTTTTTTGTATAATGAAAATATTTTTTCATTTTTTTCTTTTTTCTTTTCCTCCCATCTTACCTATCTAAATTCATGCACTCCTCTCTTTTTACAAAATAAACAGGCACATTTAAAAACATAAACAAACTATTATCTTTCTAAAACTTAGAATGCTACACACCATTAATCCTAGGCCTCAAAAGGCAAAGGCAGTTGTTTATCTGAGTTCAAGGCCAGCTTGGTGTATATAGTTAGTTTCACAAGGAAACCCTGTTTAAAGGAAAAAAAAAGAATAAAATAAAACCAAAACAAAACAGATAGACAGGAAGGAAGGAAGCCAGCAGGCAAAGAAGAAAACAAGTCTCACAGGGAAACCCTATCACTGACCAGCAGTGACACCTGGACACCTCCTAAGTGAAGGCTGGGGAGAGAGGGACAAGGTGACAGAAAGAGGGACACCAAGTCTATGCTTTGATCAAGATGTCAGTTTAATGGATGTCAGGTTTACATTTAATTAGGCAGAAAAGTACAAGCAGTTTCTCATGTAGGAGCTTTACTTGGTCAAAACAGAGGAGAGCTCACTCAAGGTTACACAGAGTCTGCTGTCTGGTTACCATGGAAGGAAGGATTTTACCATCTAGTTCTCCTGGTCAGAACCTTCTTGCTATGAAATTGCCAGGGTCAATCTCTTAGCCTCCAAGCTTAGATAGTAACTAGGGCTGAAAGGCCGAGTTCCACTGCACAGATGCACTTTCCAATTTGCCAATAACTCCAATTGGGCTGCCACAATTCCTCCCTTTCGAATTAAAACAAAGGGACCATGTCTGTCTTAGGTGGGAGTGATTCCCAATAAATATCTTACCTGTCATGGGAGAATCCTGCTTATAGGGGGATTTCTGTGTCTTAGGTTGGTATATATCCGATCACCCAGAACTAACTGGCCCATCACACAGGAAAAGGAGAGGTTAAAGCTGATGTGTGAGCTGGGCAAGCTAAGCCCCTACCTGGGGCAAGGGAGTCAAGCATGCTTCTGTTCCATGGCCAAAAGGACTTTGTGCATGGTTTCATTAAATCTAGCTTGGTGCTGTCGAACTAAGTGGACACATCTGGCAACTACAAAGATAAATAGTACCAGACCAGCCAAACATGCATAAATGAACATTCAGTATGGATCAAGAAGCTTCTTCAAATGTATCCAAATGCATGTCAGGAAGGACGAGTCTATATCCAGTGGCTCCACAACAATCTCCTGTAACTTAGTAAGATCATTAGCAAGCTGAGCATATAATTGTACATACTTTGAATCCCATGGGCCCTTAATAAGAGTGGAAAGCTGTTGTCTAGCTGAGGACATGTTAGTGACAGGAAAAGGGGTAAGACAGAATTTACCATAATGAGGGTCACAGGAATATTTAGTCATGCTTCTTACTACTTTAATTTCTTCTGACAACAAATCTATTTGTTGCTGCAAAACCAGAATGGCCTGATGAAAATGATTATTGACAAGCAATTGAGTTTGATAAGCAGTAGGTGTGGTATTAACTGATTTAATGCTGCAGCAGTAATGGTATTTTGAGAAAGAGCCACTGCATCTGTAACTCCTCCTGTGAGGGTGGCTAGAATAGCTGCTGTAATAGCCATAGTAATGCCAAAATCTCTTTTAAATCTAGTAACAGTCATAAGTCCAACTTTAGGATAATCATCTGGGGAAACAACTGGTACCCACAAGCTAGCAGGTGTCCTAACAACTCCTGCAAAAAACGTGATATTCCAACAGGAGGAAATTCTGCAAGAGCCTATAGAACAATTAATTTCTGCAGATACCAATGGACTGCTAACTAGTAAAAAGAAAAAAGGTGGCTTTAAAGAAACCTTAGCAGGAGAAAGAGTAAGACTAACTTTTGGGGTTACTGATAAAGGTTTGCCTGCAATAGCATTAAAACACATAGTACCATTTTCTACAATGGTCGTATTCAAAAAGCAGAGAGATCTAATGTCCATGCAACTCAACTTTCCACATAAGTAATATGGACCAATTACCCATGGATACTTCATAGGTATGACATTAGCATCAGCCACAGGGTCAGTGTGTGGTCTGTCCCATAATCCTGGTTTATTTAATGCCTGCAAAGGCTGATGAGGAGGCAAACAATGAACCCAGGGTAAAGGAAGACCTACAGAGGTAGAATAAATACTCCTTTCAGGCCAACTAGGTAGATCTACTGAGGTAGGCTGATCAGTTAAATTACAATAGCTAATGGCAACTCGAATATTAGTCAGTAATAATTTATTTCCCAAATCTGGCTTTAGCCT